GTTGTCTGTGCATGGGTGTGAGTATGTGATGTGTGTGGGGTGCACGTGTTGTGTTTGCATGTGTAGTGTATTCCTGTGTGTGCTTGTGTGGTTAGAGTAAAGAGTGATGCTGCACTTGGCAGTTTGGCAGCATTTGCAAATGGCTGCTTCAGTCCTCCTGGGTGCTGTGCAGGGAGCATGGCCCTTGGTGTGCGCGTGCGGTGAGGCGAGGAGCCTGGCAGGCACTGGCAGGCCACAGAGGCCATTGGCAGCTCCAGGGTCTAGCAGGTGAGGCGGGCTCCAGTGCACAAGTGTGGCCTGGTCCTCCAGCCTTGGAGCCTCGCAGATGTGGGGCCTGGGCTAAGCACGGTGTTGCAGCTGGCAGACACCACAGCAGGCCCCAGAAGAGTGACTGGACCGAGGCCTCGGTGAAGGGAAGTGTGGGGAGCGGCCAGGAAGGAATCAGAGACCCGCGGGACGATGGCAGCGGAGCGGTGAGCGGCCATGGGCCAGGGTGGGCAGGCTGGGCGCCGCTGGACGCTGGTGTGTGCAGGGAGAAGGCCATCTGAGAGGCCAGCCACCCTCAGGAGGATGCGCCAGCCATTGTTGGGAGGCCTGCGTGTGTCAGATGCGGAAGCTGCTCTCTGCTTTACGCACGGCCTTTCCAAACCAAAGGCTGTGGTTGCATCCAGGGTTCCTGGATGGATGGACAGAGGCCGCCGAAGTACCATAGGGGAGAGTTAGAAACACCGCAGGTCTTGTGCGTGATGCCCCTTGGTTCTTGAACAATCCTAGGTTAAATGCAGAAGTAGTGACATACCTCTCTATCTTTTCGTTAAAACTCATGAAATGCATCTCTGGGGAATGGAATTGTTGGCCTTGTCTGGGAGCCTTGTGCAACCTGAGTGTTCTGTGGTTTGGAGAAGGTGGGAGGAGAGGAATTGTAAGAGGTAATATGATGATGTGTTGCTGCTTGGGCTACTTTCAGCCGTTTTTCTGTGTTTGGGTCCTTTCATTTTACTATTTATATAGTGTATATAGTGGACAAATGACTCCTAATTTTGTGACACCTAGTTTCTAGATGTTCAAGAGGTTGCCAGTGTATGACAAGGTAGTAAAATTCACATATTTTATATAATTGCTGTTGACATTCATGGGAAAGCAAGTCCTCTGTAAGTGACTTTTGGATGAAAGTTTGTTACGCCATCTGTAAACATTGCATGTGCTAATACTTGTCCACAGGATGGAGGGCAGGGAGGGAAGTGAGGAGGGAATGGTTCCAGACCAAAATGGTCACATGTAGAAGCTACCTCAGAGGTCATTTTTGTTGTCAGTTTGTTTCCCATGAGTATTGGTCATGTATTTCTGTTTGTCTTTCCCCCACTTGGCTGATGGTTTTCGTTGTGGGGGCTTTGGGGGAATTGGAAAGTAGAGCAGATGTTTCTAATTCTGTGTTGTCGCAACTTGGGATTCTGATTTTCCTCACTGAGGTCATGGTTGTTGCTTGGTCTTTCTATATTGTTATTTGGGGTTGTTTCATTTTCTTCTGTTGGCGACACACCTGGACACACTGTGCTATGTCCCTCTGTGGCAGTGAGCCACTCACATCTCCTCTCTGTTCTGACTTGTTCCATAGCCCTGTCACCGTCCAGTCTCACAGCCTGGGCCTGCATACAGTTGCACCCTCCTCAGATCCTGCACAGTTAGCACCTAGGGCTCCCAGATGCCAGGTAGCTTGGGGAGGGGGGATGATCCATGGTTTTTCCCAGAGTGCCCACTGTGGGTAGGGACAGTGTGGTGTGGTCCTGGACACCTCCACAAACACAAGAACCTGCCCAATTCCCGCTGACTCAGCTGCCTCCCTCAAGCTCCATAGGCAACGTGCCCACCCCAGCCCAAACCCTGTGGAAAAGTTGAGAAAACCTTGAAGAAAATCACCATGGGTTTCAAAGTCTTTCAAAAAACTAATTCCCCTAACCACTGACCTCCCTGCAGCTTCTGGCTCTGAGCTGTGATTCTGCACATGGTTGACCTGGTGCTTAAAATGGTCTCGGTGCAGAAGCAGAGGGGATCCACCCCGAGTTTCCCGGACCCACGATGGGCAGGGACTCAATATTGTGTCAGCGACCATGGCCACTGGATTTCAGGCAAGGAGGGGCCCAATGCTCAGCCAGCTGTCAGGCACAGAGCAGCAGTCTATGCAGGGAGTCATCCCCAAAACCAGGGAGACTGCACAGACTCCCATTTGCAGCCACAGTGCGTCTCAGCCTAAACCATGGGCAGTCTTGTTAGTGGGCGTGGTTCCTGGCCTGGCCTGGTGTCTCTCCTGTGCTGTGGACACCACTGCCTGCACCATCCAGGCCAAACATACCTGGGCTCCTCCTGTCACAGCCCCATCCGTGGGCACTGGGATATGGGCTGTCACAGCTCAGATCACAGTGACAGATGGTGACATGGTTCCCCAGTCAACAAGGTTTAACCCGCTGGGAGAAAGGCCGCCCTGTCCATGCAGAACCTGTGTGAGTCTTCACCCAGGAGCCAGGAGCTGAGGAGCTGGGAGCTCGTGGAGTGCTCAGGGAACCACATGCATCTCATTTCACCTGGATCCATGGGGCCCTGTGGGGAGGGCTGTGAGCCCACGTCACAGACGAGAACACTGAGGCTCCAGTGAGGACACCAGCCACTCTGCCTACCCTCAGAACCCGTGTTCCTAGCCATGAGGGAGCACTGACCCAGCCCATGGCCGCGCCCATGGTTCCCCTGGATTCCTCACTCTTCTGGGCAGTCAGTGAACCCTGGACACACAGGGGCTTCCTCCTCCCTGCCCCAGGACAGCGGCGGGTGCCCCCCAGGTCCCTGTGTGCTCGGCGTGGGGCTCCCTTGTGCAGCAGGGAGAAGGTGGCTACACAGCACGGGTGGCGACTCAATGCACTGGCATCCACACAGGAGCATGAAGAGAGCTATATTGGACTACATACAGAGGGGGACTTAAATAAACTGTCTGAGTGAGCAGGAGAGGGAGCTATAAATAAACTGATGGTGAGGGGAACAATGGCTCTGACTGGAGGTGGCCCTGGGAGGACCCAGGAGCTGAGCTGTGCAGAGCCGGGTTTGCTGCCACCACAGTTGTTTCACTCGTGGCTGGGGCCAGAGCGGGGCCCTGATGAGCGGATGGGGAAACAGCTTAGAAGGGTGCGCACCCAGCTGGGTGAACGACGGTGGGGACGGTCCTGATTGGAGATTGTGCGCTGCCCACGCCGGCGGCCCCAGGGCCAGCGCCGCTTTGTGAACCAGGGCTGGGGATGCTCTGGCTCTGGTTTGGCTTCTGGAGATGCAGGGGGCTCCAGGGCCTCCACAGCTGGCACAGTTGCCAGGGACAGACAGGCTTCAGGTGGCTCTGGCTGGGGAGCAGACGCCGGGGTTGCCACCAAATCTGACCCCAGAAGTGCAGCAGCCGCTGCGGGAGGCACCTCCAGGTCTCCTCCTGGTGCTGGAGCTGCAGGAGGAGAACATGTCATGAACACCACTGCCCCTTCCTGCTGTCCTTGCCAAGAGGGAGATGTCCCTGGCTTCCAGAAGAGCCCCAGCCCTGTGCCCACAGCAGAGCCCTGGGCGGAATGTGCTGCAGCCCTGGGACTCTGAGCCTGGTCTTCACTCCAGCCAACACCAGCCTTGGAGCCTCCCTCCAGTGTGGGGCAGCCCCGAGACCCTCTCAGGCTCCCACGCACCCACCCCAGTCGTCCTCACCCTCGGGCTCCGCTTCAGCCTCAGCCTCCTGGGGCTCTGGATCCTCCAGCTGCATCAGGAGCAGCTGGGCTCGGCGTGCCAGGTCTGAGCTGGGCATCTGGAGCTGGACGTAGGCCAGCAGCTGATTCAGGCTGGCCAGGTCCTGAGGCTGACCGAAGTGCTCCGGGTAGCGGTCCCGCCAGGTACCGAGGAAGGAGCAGAGGGCACTAGGGGTAGCAGGAGGTCAGCAGAGTCAGACACCTTCTGCCCACAGCCTCCCTCACCCCTGTGACTCTGGGTTCTGGGCTGAGGATACACGGCCTTGTTTGCAGGTGGGCATTGAGCGGCGGCGCATGTGTGAGCCGGCTGCTGCCTGCCTCCAGGCAGGCCCCTGAAATGGGAAGGGGTGGGCCAGCCTGGCTTGAGTTGTGCTGTGGATGAATTCTCACCGTTCCCCAGATGCCCAGGAACCCAGACAATTCTGTTCCCTGCTGTAGGCAACGTCACTGACCTCAGCCCTATAGCATTAATCACAGAAATGTAGGAGATGGGATCACGGTCAGCCCCCTAGTGGCACCCCGTGTCCCTGCTGTGGAGAATAGAACCTCCCTCCTGACCCAAAGCCCACTCACTCCTTAGTGCGGTCATCCTCTTCGCAGTGAGGCTGAAAGGATGCATACCTAGAGGAGGACAGGAGGTGTCACCTGTGGTGTCCTGTGTGCCACCTGCCAGGAGGTCTGGGGGAGGGGCTGAGCCCCTGACTACAAGGGAAGAAAAGCAGGGTAGAGACAGTGGTCTGTGCTGTGCACTGAATTTTATTAAGCTCCTGGACATGTGGCTGCACACAGTGGGCACTTCATAGTGTTTGCAGTGTGAGCTTGTGAAGTCAGCCTGCTTGTCCCCAGGGGTCTACGTGGGCCTGGGCCCCTTTATCACCCTCTGGTGTCTCAGTTTGGGTCACTACCAGGACAGAGAACCACACATAGAATCTGGAAGCTTCTTTGTGAATAGGAAGGCTGCTTTGTCTGAGGCCATGAGTGGTGAGGCCTGAGGGCGCAGAGCCTCATTGGAGGGTGAACATAATGCTAAATGAGACCCCTGTCCTTGGCAGCCCACTCCTCCAGGAAGCACTTTCTGGAGCTCATCCCATTGGTCCCGAAATCACCAAGGGGCTTTTCCTCTGAGCACCAAAACTCTGTGTGAATGATTTACGACCACAGGCAGGGTCTGGGACATCACCAAGACCCAGTCGAGAGGTACTGAGTCATCCCATTCTTGCAGGTTCCGGCCCTCACCTTTGGAACAGCAGGTGCAGCACCTGTTGGGTGGTGGCGAACCTTTGATAGATGTTCAGGAATGTGGGGATGAAGAAGGGGTCCCCTCTCTGCTGGGCAGGCACCAGCTGATTCACCAGCTTCTCCACCATGCCTGTGTCCAGGGTCCCGACCCTGCTGGCAGCCGACAAGGAGGGCACCGTTCCCACGTCTTGTTCCTGGTGGGGTGCTGCACTTGGACCGTCAGGGGCCTCCAGCGCCTCCGCAGCTGAAAGGTGGACTGCCCGGGGCGGCGATGGTTCAGCCGACTCTGGTTGGGGTGCCGCTGCTGTAGTTGGCGCTAGATCTAAGCACAGAAATGCAGGAGCAAATGCAGAGGGAGAAAATATCAACACCACAGCCTTTCCTGCTCCTTGTGGTCAACCAGGAGTTTCCTTGCCTTCCAGGGAAGCCCCAGCCCTGCCACAACAGGACCCTGCCCAGATGTGGTGAGCCCTGAGGGCTCTGAGCCTGGTCTTTGCTCCCAGACAACACCAGGCTTGGAGCCCCGTCCCAGTGTGGCTCTGCCCCAGTGCCCTCCAATCTCCCACGTACCCAAGCCCTCCTCACCTTTGGGCTCAGCCTCAGCCTCCTTGGGCTCGGGGTCCTCCAGCTGGGTCAGGAGCCGTTGGGCTCGGAGTGCCAGGTCCGAGAAGGGCATATGGAGCTGGACGTAGGCCAGCAGCTGATGCAGACAGGTCAGGTCCTGAGGCTGACAGAAGTGCTCGGGATAACGGTCCAGCCAGGTTCCCAGGAGGGAGCACAGGGCACTGGGGACAGGCAGGCGGGCAGCAGAGTCAGACGTCTCCTGTCCACACCCACCCTCGCCCCTGTGACTCTGAGATCTGGGCAGAGGATGCTCAGCCCTTGTGCAGGTGGACAGAGAGGGGTCATGTGTAGGCCGATGCTCCCACCTCCTCTCGGGTTCTTGAGATGGGAAGGATTGGGCCAGCCCTTCTGAGAAGGGTTGTGGTAGGGACAGATTCCCACTGCTCTCAGGATGCCCAGGAACCTCGTGTGTCTCTCAGGTTCTTCAGGTAACATGCCTGACCTCAGACTTCAAGTGGAAAACACAGGAAGGGTGCAATCCTGGGTCAAGGTCAGCCCCCCAGTAGCACCCCATGTCCCTGCTGTGGATAGTAGAAACCTCCCTCCTGACCCAAAGCCCACTCACTCCTTAGTGCGGTCATCCTCTTCACAGTGAGGCTGAAAGGATGCATACCTAGAGGAGGACAGGAGGTGTCACCTGTGGTGTCCTGTGTGCCACCTGCCAGGAGGTCTGGGGGAGGGGCTGACTCCCTGACTACAGGGGAAGCAAAGCAGGGCAGATAGAGTGGTCTGTGCTGTGTGCTGTCTTTTGCTAAGTTCCTGGGTATGTGCCTGCACACAGTGGGCACTTTCTTATGTTTGCTCTGTGGGTGAATTGAGCTCCTTCTTAGGTGTTGAGAGGTCTGAATCCCCTCCAGCAGCCGCTAGGGGTCCTATTCAGACCATTATCAGGATAAGGACCCCCAGAGGGATCTGGAAGGTTCTTTGTGAACAGCAAAGCAGCTTTGCCTACGGCCATGAGAGATGAAGCCTTAGGTCCAAGGCTGTTTCATGAGCATGGGAGGAAATCTCTAAATCAGACCTGCTGGGCAGCCTATCCCTCAGGATCAGGCTTAGAAAGAACTTTATCACTCTGGGAGACACTCCCTTGATCACCAAGATGCTGCAAGAACACACTGAGGCCCTGAAGGGGAGCAGGGTGTCACCAAGTTCCAGCCAAGGGTGGTGCGCCCCCCCTGCGCCTGCAGGTGCAGGTCCTCACCTTTGGAACAGCAGATGCAGCACCTGCTGGGTGGTGGTGAACTTGTGATAGATGAGCAGGAATGCAGGGACGATGAAGCGGTCCCCTCTCTGCTGGGCAGGCACCAGCTGACTCACCAGCTTCTCCACCTTGCCTGCCTCCTGGGTCCCCATGCTGCTGGCAGGTGACGGGGATGGCACAGCTTCCACTGTTGCTGGTTCCTCAGGTTCCAGGATTGGTCCTGGCCCCATCTGAGCTGCTGCCATCTCAGCTGGGGCCGGCTCCACTGGAGCAGAATCAGCTGCTCTTGGCGAGGGCTCCCCCTCCAGCCTGCTTGCCACCATGGTCCCCACTCCGCTGGTGTCCTCCAGGGGTGTGGCAATGTCACTGTCATTCTGGGGTGAGACAAGGAGGGTGGTTGTAATCCTGGCCCTGATGTTCTGCCCCCACCCTCCTGCGGTTGTCATGGGACCACCAGGTCCCCATCCCACCCCCCGTCCCTTCCCATGGGCCACTGACCTCCCCAAACTACCCGCTCCACACCACCCAAGATGGATGCAAGGACACCTGGGAGGATCAACGGGGGAGGTCTTCCCAGGGGTCCTGGCCTGGCTGGCTGAGATCACCTTGGTTTCCCTCTGAGAGAATTGCCAGAGCTGCTGTGGGCGAGGGCTGACCCAATGTCTGTAGCTCTGGAGAATATCCGCAGCCTGGGGCTGGCCCCGGCCTGGGCCTTGGGATGTTGGGAGACAACACGAGAACATATCTGCTCGATGGCCTCTGACCAACTGAACTGGCTGGGTCACCAGCACCACATTGTGGGTGCCTGGTAACCGGGGTTCCAGGTTCTGTTGTGGCCATCGTCAAGGAAGTGAGGTCACTTCCTGAGGTCCTCTCAGCAGACCTCCCCTAGGTTTCTATCACTGCTGACTTCTACCCCGCCTGCGGCACAGATACCATGTTCACACCTGACATGGTTATACCAGTTCACCCATCAGCTCCCTGAGGCAGTTGGGCCAGCCAGAGCCCGCACTGGGAAGTCATAGAGCTGTTGCAAAGTACACGATTTTTTTTAAGCTGAGTAGTATTCCACAGTGTAAATACACCAGAATTTCTTTATCCAGTGAACAGTTGATGGACATCTGGGTTGAGTCCATATCTTAGCCATTGTGCATTGAGCCGCAGTGAACATTGGGGTGCAGACCACTCTTTCATGTTCTGAATTCCTTTTCCTTTGGATAAACTCCCAGGAGTGGGATGGCTGGGTAATATGGTAGGTATATATTCAGATTTCTGAGGTATGTGTCTTCAACAGTGGCTGCACCAAGTTACATTTTCACAAATAATGGATTTGTGAAATCCTTGCCAGCGTTTGTTGTTTGTTGATTTCTGTATGAAAGCCATTCTAACTGGGATGAGGTGAAACCCAATGATGGGTTTGATGTGCAGTTGCCTGTGGCTAGTGATCCTAAGGATTTTGTATGTGTCTGTTGGCCATTTGCTGTCCGTCTCTTGAAAAAGTCTGTTCAGATTTTTGCCCATTTCATAAGTGAATTGTTTTGTTGTTCTTGAGTTCTCTAGCCATTCTAGAAATTAATCTTTTATCAGTTGCATAGTTTGCAAACCATTTCTCCCACTCTATAGGTTGCCTCTTCACTTTGCTGAGCAACTTTTTGCAGTGCAGAAGCTTCTCAATTTGGTATAATCCCATTTGTTAATTTTGGCTTTGCTTGCCTGTGTCTCTGGGTCTTTTTCAAGCACTCTTTGACTATATCAATGTGCTGCAGGGTTTCCCCAGTGTTTCTAGTAATCTGAAGGAATTGGGTCATAGCTTTAGGTCTTTGATCCACTTTGAGTGGATTTTGTGTAAGGTGGAAAGAAGGGGTCTGCTTCCTACTTCTGCATGTGGAGATCCAGTATTCCCAGCACCATTTTTTGAAGAGATTGTGTTTGCTTCCTTCAGGGATTGATTTTAGCTCCTTTGTCAAAGATCCGTTGGTTATAGATGCGTGGATTGATTTCTGGAGTTTCTTTTCTGTTTCATTGGTCTGCACATCTGATTTTGTGCCATTACAGGCTGTTTTGATTAGTATGTCTTGAGCACTGGTATTATGGTGCCTCCAGCTTTGTTTTTGTTGTTTCAGATTGCTTTAGCTCTTTGGAGTCTCTTGTGCTTCCATATGAATTTGTGCATCATTTTTTTCTAGATCTGAGAAGAATGTTGTTGCTATCTTGTTTGGAATTGCATTATTCTACACTTCACTTTTGAAAAATGATTTATATATTCATTTTAAAGGCAGAGAGAGAGAGTGAAAGAGTGAGAGAGAGAGAGAGATGGAGATAGAGAGAGAGAGAGAGAGAAAGAGGGATCGTCCATCTGCTGGTTCACTCCCCAGATGGCTGCAATGGCTGAAGTAGGGCTGAAGGAAAACCAGGATCCAGGAGCTTCTTCCAGATCTCCCATGTGAGTGCAGGGACCCAAGGATTTAGGCCATCTTGTATTGCTTTCCCAGGCCATATCAGAGAGCTGGATCGCAAGTAGAGCAGCTGGGCCTTGAACTGGCATCAGTATGGGATGCAAGCACTGCAGGCAGTGACTTTACCTGCTACCCCACATCGCCTGCCCCTCTTTCAGTCGAATGGACATTTTGATGTTATTTATTCTTCCAATTCATTAATTTGAAAGATTTTCCACTTTTTAATGCCTTCTTCTATTTCTTTCTTTAATGTTTTGTAATTTTCATCATAAAGTTCTTTGATGTCCTTGTTTAAATTTATTCTATGATATTTAGCTTTTTTGTAACTAATGTGAGTAGGATTGGTCTTAGAAGTTCTGTCTCAGCAATGGTATCGTTTGTGTATACAATGGCATTGTCTGTGTTTACAAAGGATATTGTTTATTCTAATGATTTACTTATTTATTTGAAAGGCAGTTACTGAGACAGAGAGAAAGAGAGAGATTCCATCGAATGGTTCACTCCCTAGATGGTCAGAATGGCCGGAGGTGTACCAATTTGAAGACAAGAGCCAGGAGCTTCTTTCTGTTCTTGACATGTGGGTGCCTGGGCCCAAGGACTTGGGCCACCTTCCACTGCTTTCCCAGGCACATTGGCAGGGAGCTGCACTGGAAGTGGAGCCCTAGGGATCAAGCCAGAGCCCATATGGGATGCAGGCGTTGCAGGTGTCAGCTTTGACGGCTAGACCAGAATGCTAGCCCCTGCCATATTTTCTTTAAACATTGATCCATCAAAGGATGCCTAGGTTGTTTCCGTTTCTTGGCTGTTGTGATACTGCTGCTACATCAGAGTGCAGATAGCTCCTCGGCATAATGTTCTAATTTGTTTGGATGTTGTCTTAGGCCATTTTGTATTGCTGTAACAAAATCCCCCCAGACTGCACTGTCTAAAGAAAAGGGAGTTATTTTGGCTCAAGTGGTGGAAGGTGGAAAGTCTGAGATCCCTTGTCCCCTCTGGTGAGGACCACATGCTGCATCAGTTCCTGGTAGAGAAGCAGAAAGAAGAAACGGCTGCATGAAGAAGAGGAGTACATGTGTAAGGGAGGCGGGAACAACAGGACCAGCCCTGTCTTTTGGAAAGGAATCCTGCCAGGGTGAGAACTGGCTCCCAGGAGAGCACTGATCTACTCATGAGGCCTCAGTAGTAGGGTTCCTGGATCGTACAGTGTGGGGAGCAACTGGGAGCAACTCGGACTAGACTAAGTTACTGGAATTAAGACTTATTCTATGCATCTGCTCTCCCACAATATGGCGCTGGGAGAGGAGAAAACAGCTTTTACGCAGCTGCCTCTTGCCAACTTGAGTGATGACCTCCAGGAGCTGATCCTGCTCCTGATTGGAGGAGAGCAGCGTACTCGGCGTGTGGGCAGCCGAGTTGGGATTGGTGGATGAGGACTATAAAGGAGGAGAGAGACAACATGCACCAGGAACATCTAAGAGGAGCATCTATCTGAAGGAACACCTGTGGAGCCCCCGAGAGAGCCGGCCAGCGGTGTGCCGCTCCCCCGCGGAAGTGGGGAAAGTGGCAGGGGGAACCGCCCTTCCATGGAGCTGGAGGGGACGGTAGCCAACCCGGGAAGAACCAGCAGCAAACCCGGGGAGGGCCGAGCAGACAGAAGAACAACGCAGGGTCCTGTGTCATTCCTCCACGAAGACGGGGAGCGACAGTATGGTAGATCTACTTTAATTTTTTGAGGACCGTCCATACTGCTTTCCATAATCATTGTACGAATTTGCATTCCCACCAACAGGGAAGGAGTGTTCCCTTCTCTCTCTACATCCTCACCAGTACTTGTTTCCTTTTTGTCTTGGTTTGCAAACTGGCCATTCTGATGTGAGTGAGGCACTATTTCATTGTGTGTGTGTGTGTGTGTGTTAAAGATTTATTTATTTGAGTGAGTTACACAGATAGAGAAGGAGAGGGACAGAGAGAGAGAAAGAGAGAGAGAGAGAGAGAGAGAGAGGTCTTCCATCTGCTTGTTCACTTCCCATATGGCTGCAATGGCCTAAGCTGGGCCAATTTGGAGCTGGAAGTAGAGCAGCTGGGACTCAAACTGGCGCCCATATGGGATACTGGAGTGGTGTTTACCTGCTATGCCACAATGTGGGACCCAACTCTCCTGATTTTTGTGTGTTGTTGATTTCTATCCTGCAACTTTATTGAATGTTTATTAGTTTCAACAGTTTTTTATTCGAATCTTTAGGGTATTCCATATATAAGATCATGTCAGCTGCAACTAAATTCTTCCTATCTAATGTGGATATCTGTTTTTCTTTCTCATGCCTCATTGCTCTTACTGGGACATTTAGTGCTAGATTGAATACAAGTGTTGGAAGGGTTCATCCTTGTCTTGTCCTGATCTTAGGGTAAAAGCTTTCAGCTTTTCATTGAATGTGATGGTAGGTGTGAGATTGTCATATAACCTGCATTGTTTTGGCGGACTTTCCTTGTCTAGATAGTTTGTTGAGATTTTCTCATGAAAGCGTACTGGCTTTTGTAAAATACTTTCTATGGGTCCATTGAGGAGATCATATGGTTTTTGACGTTCAGTCTGGTAGTGTGGTATACCACATTTATTTTCCACATGTCCATTTTCATTCTGTTAATGTGGTGGATGAATTGTATTTATTGATTTTCATATGTTGAGTCATATGGTATGCTGTTGAATTTTGCTGGATGATATTTTTTAAGGATTTTTAAAATCTATGCTCAGTATGAATACTGACCTATAATCTTTTCTTTGGCATCCTAGTCTAGTTTTAGAATCAGAGTAATGTTAACCATGTAAACTGAGTTTTGGAGTGCTGACCCATCCTCAAAGTTTTGGAAGAATTTGGGAAAACTCTGTATCAGTTTTCAAATGGTTGATAGAATTCCACAGTGAAATCATCACATCTTGCACTTTTCTTTGACAGTAGAATTTATTAGTGATTCAGTCCCCTTACTCGTGGTTCAGTGGTGTGTGCATTCTTATTCTTCTGAAGACATTTTAAAATCACCATTTATTGGACGGCACCGCGGCTCACTTGGGCAATCCTCTGCCTGTGCGCCGGCACCCAGGGTTCTAGTCCCGTTGGGGTGCCGGATTCTGTCCCGGTTGCTCCTCTTCTAGTCTAGCTCTCTGCTGTGGCCCGGGAGTGCAGTGGAGGATGGTCCAAGTGCTTGGGCCCTGCACCTGCGTGGGAGACCAGGAGGGAGCACCTGGCTCTTGGCTTGGGATCGGCACAGTGCGCCGGCTGTAGTGGCCATTTTTGGGGGGGGGGTAAACCAATGGAAGGAAGACCTTTCTCTCTGTCTCTCTCTCTCTCTCTCTCTCTCACTG